TATTAGTCACTCTGGTTCGCGGTACATGAATCACATCGCTCGCTGGCAACCAATAATTCGTTCGATTGCTCTATAAATACTGCAATACATCTCGCGTGTTTGTCACGTTTCAAAAAAACGACTTACCTTCGTTGAATCAGAACGAGTGTGGTTATGGACACAAGTTTTTTATGGGGTTCTCCCCATATCCTGGTATTGAGCGAGTTTGCATTTCGTAACTTTCCTCTGTTATTTTTGCTGCATGTCGTCGCTCTCAACAGTGCTCCAAAGATTACGTTGCTGCCTTGATTTATGCTCGTTAATCCGTTGTGGAAATGGGGTCGAATCGGTGGGTAAATCGAATAAATCTGACTAAAATTTTGCAGCTTTCTTGTTGAGTTGCCGTAAGTTTACCTGCTAGTTCGTGCATGTTTGAATCCTAGTCCTCAAGTAGATAAAAAATTGATTAATCTCAGCAGCGAAATTTTCTTTAATTTTTTTTGTGAGCTGTTTCTGGTTTTGTGCCGTGAACTACGAAACAGTTGGTACTGGATAAGTACCTTTTGTGTCTGCTCCCATTCTTGAAAAATAAACTAGATTAAAGTCAGATTGCTTCAGGAGGCCGCTATAACTGTGAAAAACTCCGCACATTCCGACTCGAAAAGGATGTCTTCCGAAAAGAATGGGCAGGAGGCGATGGACACCGATACTACGGGTTTAGACACAAACCTTTATTCAAGACAAATGTATGAGTTTTTGAGCATCCATATTATTATTTCTGATTATTTCTAAGTATTTAGTTATGCACTTGGCGAATCTGCCATGATGAATCTGAGAAAGGCTTCCGTTCTGATTTCCGGCTTGGGAGGCGTTGGTGTCGAGATCGCGAAGAATTTGGTTCTTGGAGGTACATTTCCTAATCTATTAATTGAAAATTTCCTGCAATAATGATCGATAGTGCGCTTATCTTCCAGGAACAGCATTGTCTGAGATATTTTTGCCTTTTTGATGGTGAAAGTCGATTGCGCGTACTTCTCATCTTTCGTTCCTAGCTCAAACGTA